TTTGGAAGAGCGGTGAGTACATTTTACATATCATTGCTTCACTTCATTTTCAGTTATTGATCTTGGATGAATATTTAGAAGATCCATGATCCTGGATCATCCAATGAGTTATCTATCTATATATTTGGTTCAAAAACAACATGAGGGGAAAAAAATACTAATATGTCTTGCTTCAGGCTAAGATGAGGAGTTCATCCTGGTGGGTGCGGTATTTCCTTCAGATTAACTTAGAGGAGAATGAAGCTGCTTCCAAAAAGTTTGCACAGGCTTCAACCAAGAGTTCATACGTTCCAAGATGCCAGATATTCCACGTGAACTCTCTCCATTGACGTTCAGGGTGATTACGTTTGTATCATTGAAGCTCCCAATGGCTGCTTACCCCTTTGTTTTCATCTAGAACGCTCTCTTCTATATAGGTAATTTATTTTATCAAATTCTATTCACCATAATTGGTGTATCTGTTTGTTGCTGACTAAAATAGATTTATATTCTTTGACATACCATCTCCTGGCGGTAAAGGATATGAGTTCGGTATTTAACTAATTTATCAGTTGAATAGGTTACTTTAAGTGCAGTTGCAGTGATTGTTGTACTTAAATCCTTTGTCCTTGGGATATAAATTGAATCTAATTATATATGCTGGAATAATCTGGTGAACTGATGAATGAACATATTTGTTTTTACTCTAGCAATATTACCTCTAAATCATTGCTGATATAAAATGAGGAATAATCAAATCTTCATGCTAACTTGACTTCTACATTAGACCAGAAAACTAGAATGAAGTTTTCTCTTGCTTATTCTTCATTCCTTGTTCTGAGCATATAGTCTGTATTCTGGTAATGAGAACACTGTATATAACCAGTTTTTTTTCCTTCTTTTTTTCCCAATATCCGCGTATTAGTTGCAATTTTCTAACTACAATGATACGAATGGTTTTTAATTTTCATAAGTCAACAATTTACTAGCTGGATGTGATGAATATGAATTATTTATCAAGTGGAATGGATTCTATCATCATGCATAAAAGGCTTTCTGATATTTATTTGTGCCTTTTTTGTTTGTTGCGAGAGTTTTATTGTACCACATTTCACTTCAACTAGAAAAGCAATTCATTGCCAGCACACACTGTATTTGATGCTTTTTCGTTAATAAAACGGAATGAAACTAGTGAGGATAGGCCAAAATGGGAAGAGTGGGAATAGAAAAAAGTTATATTTCTCTTAGATTGAGAGAATAATAAGCAAATGGGAACATAATTTTATTTCCTTTGTTCGAGAGTTGCAGTGAGAAGGAATTATGAATTTTTTTGGATAGTTCTATAGTACAATTATGAATTTTAAGTAAAACTACAATTACGAATTTTAAGGATAGTCCAATAGTAACTCTGTTTTTTTGGTTATAACTATCTTCGCGAAATTGAACCTTTAGGTGACAAGTAAAAACATCTAAACTTATGTAAACAAAATAATTTAGTCTTGGTCCTGTAAAAAGGAATTGATTAAAAACTGAGTATTTAGTTTTGGTCCTGTAAAAACCTTTTTGTAATTTTTTTTTTATTTTCACTCATCTAAAATTTAAAGTCAATATTTTTTATTCTCAATGATAATTTTAAGATATATATAGATAATATTTATTTTAAAAAATTTAAAAGCATCATACATCGATGAAGTATTATAAATAGTTGAATGATACTTTGGATGATCACTTGATTTTTAATAAATATATAAGTAATTAAAAGCGATTATATAATAATAAAAACTAAAAACAAAGTTTGAAATATAAGAGGGATGACAAACAAAAAAAAATTTAGGGAGATAAATTAAAATTTTCTCATTTTACACAGATTGAAAACTTAATTATTTATTGATATTTTTGATGCATTTATTTACCAGTATTTTTACATTAACAATGTATTTTAATTATTATTGGCACCTTTTAAAAAGATTTATATTTAAACAATTGATTAAGCTGAAACAATATTTTTCAAGTATTATTTTAATACAGATGTGAGCATTATTTTAACACACATGGTAAAAGAACTTGTGAGTGAATATTAAGTCGACTTCATGTTTTGAGATAGATCTTCTAACCACTAAACTAAAAGATTTAATGGGCAAAAATCATGTTTCATAAACAAAAATTAACTCTTAATTATTATATTTGAGATATTGTATGAATCATGATTAAAAAAAAAACTAAAGCAATTTTGCATTATTAATTTTCGATCTCGGCGATTTTTATCCTATAGATAATATTACCTGTTAAATTAAAAAAAATATTAATATATTCTCTCTTTCTCTCCCTATATATTCTCGTTAATAATATAATGACATTTTTTTACTGGATTAATTTAATTTAATTTAATTTCGAGGACATCGTCATCTACTACATAAAAGTAAAATGTAAATTTTGAGTATAATTATTGTTTCTGTTGATATCCATAAAGTATTTGAATTTATAAAAAAAAAAAAAAAAAATTATACTTGACAACTATTGGTGTAAGTACGAACTTCATGTATGCATATTTGACGGGGGCGCGACAAAGCCCTTGAGGAGTTGTTATATACATTGACAACTGACAAGGGCTTCTTTAATTCGAGATCAAAATCTTTGTTTAATTTGTAATTTTCCTTACATTTCTTTTTTATTTTTATAGTTTTTTTTTTTTTAAGATTGGAAAGATTACATAGATAGTCGCAATGAGGATTGAACCTAGATCTTATGCTTCTAACTACCCAAGTCCCTCCCCATCCAATTACTAGGCTAACCCTAGTAGTCTAATTTTTATAGTTTAAAATAAATATTTTAATTTTTATATTTATTTTTAATATTTTTTAAATTCTTATAATTTAAGATATAAATATTTTTTTAGTTTTTTTATATTTGTAATTTTTTAATCTTTTAGTTTATATTGTTTTTTTTATGTTTTTTTTTTTTGTGTTGATATAACATATGTATCAATTCAATATTATGTTTATGATATCAAATTTATTTTATTAAAATTACTCTAAATTAAGTTTCTGGGTATTATCTCTAAATTAAGTCTTTTAACATTTTATTTTTTTATATTCTCACTTATCATGTTCAAAATTGAGGCACATTTTTTAGTTTTAAAAAATTTAAGACCTATAACACATTAATATAAAATATACAATATTAAAAAATTAATAAAAACTAAAAAAAATTAATAAATTATAAGTATAAGGACAAAAATCTATCTTAGAATATAAAAATTAAAAAAATAAATATAAGGATCAAAATATTTATTTTAAACTACAAGGATTAAAAGATAAATTAAGTAAAATTTTAAGAAGCGAAAAAAACCTTCATTTAATAAGCCTTTGGTTTAAATATAATTAACACGTGTTTTTTACAGGAAAATTAACATATTTTATGAAGAAAAAAAAAATTGAACCTTACATATATTTGAGTAACTTATATGAAAATATTTTATTATCATGAGAAATAGAAACTATAAATATATATTTTAGATAATGTTTAAATAATTAAAATTAAAAGAAAAATACAGGATTTTTTAATAATGATTTGACTACTAAATAATTTATAATTTTGATATTTATATACGAATATATGGTAGAGTTATATGGGGGCATATTCAATGACAATTTCTTAGAAAAGTGCTAACAACATATATTTTCATTTTTCATGCGCACTCTTTTAAATTCACGTCTTTTTATTAGTTAATTTTTTAAAAAACTACAAAATTAAAAATGACTCATTAAATGCGAAGTTACATCCATCAAAATCTATAATTATCAATAAATTTTATCTAATAGTATATTGTATGTTGAAAAGGTTTAAAAAAATATGCCAAAGATTGTGAAATTCATTATTTTATTTTATTATATTTATAAAAAAAACTATAAATCTGAATCATACAGCTATATCTATAATAATATAAAGGAGAAGGTGTCCATTTTTCAAAGATAATTATAACCTCATATCTATATTATAATTTTTGTTCACCAACATATCTAAGAATAAAATAGGAAAAGAATGTATATGTAAAATAATAACTACTTTTCTAAAAATAATAACTATCACTTATTTAAAAAATATTTATTCTTTTCACGAAGCCACGGATTACATTTTTTATTGGTAGTATGAATAACGAAATTAAAAGTTAGTTAATAATCTTAATAATCACCATTTCAAAAGAAGTCATGTGTATTCTTTTTAATCTTAATCAATCATCTAATGATCTATAATTATAATTCTCAATTCTATAATATATAAAAAAATCCATAAAAAACCAATTCTTATCTTACACATTTGTCTCGACACACATTAAATTTAAGTCAATTAAAATTATCTTAAAAATCTCCCACAAAAATATCACCTCATTTATAAGTACTGATTAAACTTTTTTTTTTCCATAAAGTACTCATCAAACCTCAATAGAGTATTTTTATGTTTTTATAATCTATAAATGTTTCATTTTTGAACAAATATTTATTAAAATAAATCAACTCCCTAAAAGAAATGTCTCATTTCTTTTCTTTCTTAGATAACAAATGTTTAAGTTAACAAATAAAATCATCATAATAAAAATTAAAGACAAATGTCACAACTCAAAATTTTCACCCACAAAAAAAATAATTACATAATCATATTAATTAAAATAGTTATAATTAATATGATTTTGATGATTTAAATATTTAAATCAGTAATGTAACGATCCGAATCAGTACATAAACGATACATCATATATAAGTCGTTTATCCTACAATATTCTCAAACAAAAGCATTTATTATATACAAGACAACATGCATACACATACAAGAAGAATCTCAGTGATTATCAACATATAATTATCCAACAGAAAAACAAAAAATCTCACATACAAAAGAACATCATTTTCCTTATGGGACTACAGTATCTCCATATAGGGAGCGGTGGTGAATGTCATTACTAGCCCTAACCCTAGCTAGGCCTATTATGCAACTCCCTTCTAGCCTCGTGATTTAGGGAGAAGATCACGTGGGAATTGCATGGCGCACCACTATCTACTATCATATAACTTCATCACTATTGGGGCTTCTCACACTCCACAAGACTTCATACTGTAAATCAACCTTCTTACTTTCCCCGTCCCCCACCTCTTGCCTCCAATAGTGGAGACACTCTTATAAGTACATACACACTCCATCCAAATTGGCTTTCACATTTCTTTTCACTTATTTTTTGCACTTTCAGTTTTTATATATAATTTATTTCGGTATGTCATTATTTTTTATGAAATATTCCTTTCAACTTATATATTTCTTTCATAAAATTTAAATATATATGAGACTTTACTCAGAGAATTGTGTTACTTCATTTGACAAATGACTTGTTGATATATAGAGAATATTTGATATAGATTGTTCAAATAATTTATTTGAAAAAAATTATTTCATTATGATTATATTATAACACATTTTAATATGAAATAAATTGATTTGAATATATTGTTTAAATTTACTTAATTTATGAGAGAAAAATGCGTTTATTTGTTTAGTTAAAGATTTTGAATAATTCTTTGAATATTTTTATTTATAAAATTTAAATAAAAATAATCCAAAAGTATGTTTGTTTCAATGGACTTAAAATTATTTTATTTATAAGGAAATTATTTTGAATAACTATTTGAAATAAATTTATTTATAAAATTTAACTAAAAGTAAA